GATTCTGGTCATGGCCTTCTTCCTCATCACATACACCTTCCACTCCACCTGGGTGACCAGCGAGGCGTACTCCTCCCCCTCCATCGTGCTGTCGGCTCGTGGAGGCGACGGCAGCCGGATCATCTTCGACGACTTCAGAGAGGCCTACTACTGGCTGCGCCACAACACCCCTGAGGTCAGGAGAAACGCTTTCAGAATGACAGACGCATCATTACAAGTTAGCAGCATCATAGCTGTTAGATTAAAGGCTCCCCACACAGTAACCTGTTTTATTTTGTGTTTCCAGGATGCCAAAGTCATGTCATGGTGGGATTATGGTTACCAGATAACGGCCATGGCAAATCGAACCATTCTAGTGGACAACAACACGTGGAACAACACACACATCTCCAGAGTGGGACAGGTGAGCTGAGGAACCTCCAGGGTAATCACGTTTTCAAAAGAGCTGCTGTGGTAACTGTGTTCTCTTCTGCAGGCCATGGCCTCCACAGAGGAGCGAGCCTATGAGATCATGAGGGAGCTGGACGTCAGCTATGTGCTCGTCATCTTTGGAGGACTGACGGGCTATTCTTCAGATGGTACGTCCCAAATAACAGTAACCATGCACATATACAGACTATATTTCTACTATAGATGGAGGCTTCACAGAGTTGGCTCTAAAAGTCTGTTTTAGTAGTAAGTCTTGCTTTTTATCAATGAAAAAGAAAGTTTCAAGAACTCGCATAAACACACTGACACATCCTTTGCTTGTACATTTTACTTCTAATTTATTTAAAACATTCACTGTAGTTAATGCCTTACTGCAGCTTTATTGGGTGCCATCTTACTGAAGTCACTTTTAGAGTGGAAGCATTCGAAGTGACACTGCAGCATGCATCTTCTAAATGTTTGCTGTGAAACGGCTTTCATTGCAAAACAACTGATTTCCCTCAAATTGTCTCTGCACAAAGAAGTCCCACTGCACCTGCCACACACTTTGGAAACCACTAGCTTTTTATGTTACAAATCATATAGCTGAAACTTGAATCCAAAGTGATTTACAATATGTGAATAGACAGGAAGATAGAAACTCAAAACAGCTTAAGCTAATCCATAAAGATACAAACTGTGAAGTCCACTGAGACAAATGTAACATTTGTGATATTGGGCTATATAAATATTGATTGATTGATTGATACCAGCCCCCCTCAGAGGTAATGGCTTTCTTTCATGTCTTGTTGTGTATTGCCAGGACATTATCCTCCCTAGGCTGGTGCTTTTGTTTTTAAGTGTGAATTGTTGTACCCTCATAGATGTAATGACTCTCAGCTACTAGGTCAGTCAGTGTGAGGATACTGCCAGTTAGCACAGCAACAACTTCCACAACACTGACTCTGCTAAAGTATTCCTCTCCCTGATTTTGCCTTACCTGGACATATTTTTGCTCTAGTACTTACATTGCTAGTTTCCTAAAAGTTAACTATTTTTTTTATTGCTTGCTGAATAAGTTTGTCACGGAAAAGGAAGGCAAATAAATAAGAGCTTATATTTAAGAGGTTTTTACCATCATTTCTGTAATGTGTCCATCTGTGTGCCTCAGACATCAATAAGTTCCTGTGGATGGTTCGTATCGGGGGAAGCACAGACACGGGCAAACACATCAAGGAGCACGACTACTACACCCCCACCGGAGAGTTCCGGGTGGACCGCGAGGGCTCCCCCGTCCTGCTCAACTGCCTCATGTACAAGATGTGCTACTACCGCTTCGGACAGGTCTACACAGAAGCCAGTGAGTATTGCTGTTGTCACGCATGACCCGATGTTACCCTCTGTCAGGGGCAGAATGTGAATGCAGGCTTTTTTCTTTGAAATAACCATTCAGTTTAGGATGATAAATGATGCAGCTCCTTCATTTATAAGATGATATTTTAATTATAATTCAAAAGAACAGTTGGTGAAAACCATGGAGCATGACTGGACCATCATTTGCAGATGCACTAAGATATCAGCTTTAGAATCAGGTTTATTGCCAAGTAGGTTTACTCAAAACAAGGAATATAAACAACATAAACACAACAAGAATAATTCATCAAATAAAAAGGAAAATGATATTGCTATCTGCTATTTTTAAAATCGTTATAAAAAGAAATGTTTACGGGAAATACATATATGAAAAAAGTAGGTACAATAAGAATATGATAATGTAGCCATTTGTACTGTAATTGTGATGATGCTCCTGACGTTCTCTGCAGAGCGCCCCCCTGGTTACGACAGAGTGAGGAACGCTGAGATCGGGAACAAAGACTTTGAACTGGATGTGTTGGAGGAGGCGTACACAACAGAGCACTGGCTGGTTAGGATATACAAGGTAAGATAACAACGTGTCCTCATGCCGTCCATTCAAATATCATCATCATCATCATCATCTCTGTCTATAAAGACTTCGCTTTGCTAAGATCAGATCTACTGAAACATTTATTTGGGGCAATGAAGGAAATAAGTGTTGAGCAGACATGACAGTGCTGAACAGAAGGGTATTTTTACATGTTTCACCAACATAAACTTCAATATATTTAAGCTGCCACAATATATTTAATTGACCAGTCAGTAGACAAAAGACTAATTAAAACGTTTTCTGAAGTTGTTTTAAAGTTTAAGCAATGGTGCCAAACATTTCATGGTTTTGTGAGAATTTGCTACTTAAATTATAGTGAAATACATTTCTTTGGACAAAGATTAAGACAAAGCAAGAGCTGTGATGATGGCCCTTTTTTATTCAGAAATCAATTGCATTTCTTTAGAAATTGTTTTACATCTATTCCAACAAATAATCTATTAATTGAAAATGAAAATAATTGTTGGAGCTCTACATTGTGAACATTTAATCTTTATTTTATGAAGGTACTAGTAGATCTTTCTAACCCAAACTCTTGTGTTCCATATTTCAGGTCAAAGATCTGGACAACCGAGGTCTTTCAAGGACATAAAACCTTGAGACGCAGAAAAGCCTTTTAGCGCACAGCACTGAACACCTTCCCCTGTGGTCTGCAGATGAGTGGAGAGAAAGAGTACTTTTTATACTTGTTTGGGGGAAGAAAATTGCATCAAAGAGATTTTTGATTTTTTTTTTTGTGGATGATTTTCTTTTCTTTTTTCTTTTGTTATAATGAAATGTCTCATCTGGGATCAGAGGGATCTGGTGTCAAAACGTCCAGGAAGTGTCATTTGCAATGAAGCGTTCAAAAGAAAGCAGTGTTCATTTAAGAACGCTTGAAATGGGTTTTTACAATGTGGTCAATTAAAGTGGGGTTAAACGTGATGGCTGGTGTTCATTTTTTCTCCCACACTTCTGCACAAAATACAGACTGATTGATTTTGGACATCGGTTTTAACTAGTAAGAACAGTTTATAAATCCATGTTAACCTGACGACAACTGTGCTGAAAGGATAAGTGACATTATAGAAGTTAGACTACTCAGCAACTGCATTATTTTATTACTGATTTACTTGCATGTCCTTTAACTCAGGGGTTCCCAACCCCCGGTCCGCGGACCGGTACCGGGCCGCGAAATAGCTGTGAGTTTATCGTAATATTTGCAGAATTATAAATATATAAAAATATTTTATCATATCATATATTATCATAATCAATATCATAATTTTCGCACCTATGCCACCAGTCATATTATTTCATCCAGTAGCCAGTTAATCTTTCACCAGAAAACCGTTGAAAATGGCTTTTATGATGTTCCGAGGGATTCGGCGGCTCAGCCTATAAGGTCTCAGCCTCTTGTGCGCACGAGCATGTTACCGGTGCGCCAAGTAGGAAGAGGAGCGCACAGGAGACAACAGTTTGATTGCAGACTGTTATGTTTATGTGGGGAAATGGTGGTGCATACATTATTTGAGATATATTTCAAACTCGGACTTCATTTTAAGGACATGTCGGCCAGGGGTGTAGAGCTATTTGTTTAAGCACCAGATTGGCAAAACAGGAGAGTCTGTAAACCAGTCTGCCTTGACCTATGAATTAATGTCCGGGACTCTCACGGTATCTGCTGCCCGCAGCTGTTTTATAGAAGGAAACCCTCCTTCACTTCATGAGATGGCTGCAGCATCAGGAGGCAGCGGGACGTATACTCGGTAAAGAGCTGTGCCTTTTTACGCACCGCCTTCGCTGTGTTTAACTTCATCAGAACAGTTTAAGAGTGACTGCAGGCTGCTACGTGTTAACCACACACACATCTACACACATCGAACTGCCCGATTACTCCCCCTTTTATTAGTTTTATGAAGGAGATGTCCAGTCAGTCACCAAGGCGCATGATGTGTGTGTGCTCTGCTCAGCTCTGTGTGTTCGGTGTGTTTGTCTGTCCGACACCGGCATATATGCAGCTGTTCCCAAAATAAATTAGTTAAATCTTAATCTCGATGTAGTGCTAAATGCTGTCGGGAGTGCACCGGAACGAACGACACTATCATAATATCTTCTGAAAACAAATGACACGCACACACATTCTCGTTTTCCCAGCATTCACTGATTATCCGTAAATCAAACAAAACCAAAACGTTGATTTATCCGTTTTCCCGTTTTGGTTTAAAAACTGAATAACGTCGGTTTTCCGAAAAAACAAAAAACACCGGTTCTTTTTTAAACTTTGTTAATATGTTTTGGATGCATATTGTTCTAGTTCTAGTATTTGTTCAGGCTGTTACATACAATTAGCCTCTGTTGCTACCTGCTGGTGGTGAGTAAATATTAAAATCAGTTCAAATTGACAACCGGTCCGCGATTTTTTTTTAATGTATCTACAGGTCCTTGGCACAATAAAGGTTGGGAACCCCTGCTTTAACTCACTTTCCTGAATTACTCAATTCAGCCACTGTAGTTAGAAGCTCACTGCACTCAAAATGAGATGAACATATTTAATAAGATGTCTTTGTGATCAGTGACACTGAATGATAAAAGATTCATTCAAGACTTTGACGATGCTTTTATAGAGTAAACAATACAGCAGAACTTAAGATAAAGCATTCCTTTATTGCACTGCGTTTAGCAATCTGTCACATTTATTTAAAAAAGATGAACATAGAAAGTGTTGGAGGATAGTAAATACATTCAGAATACAATAAAAAAGGACAACAATGTTTTCCTCAATACAATAAAACAGCATAAAAACTAAATACGAGTGTAAAGTGTCCATTAGCTTGAGTCCCACACAGCGCTCCTCACAGTCTGGGCTGGTCTGGCAGGTCTTCCAGCAGAGCGTGGTTCTTCCTGTAGATGTAGGCGTTGGAATCGCCGTCCAGCATCACCAGCTCCGCCAGCGAGGACACGCAGGGATCAGGATCCATCAGCATCGCCGGCAGCCGGGACGATTTCCGCTCGATGCGGCAGGAGCGCCGCACTGGTGTCAGGAACTTCAGATCTTTGATGTTGTTCTTTTTCTTAAAACTACTTGTGCTGGCCTCCTCTTGGATTGTCTTCTTGACACTGAAACATGGGATTTGAAAGAAATAAAATTGTGTTTCACAAGTGTAATAAGGGAAAACAAATTACTTGGACTCAAGGTTAACAAAAAAATAGTTGTTTGAAAGGATCGGGCAAAAGAGATGGCTAGTATTGCAAATGAAACTTGATAGACTCACCTTTGCAGATATGGTGTGGTCTTCACACTGTACTTTATCATTGAAGCCCCCTCCCTCTGCGGCATATTCTCTGTCACACATTGTACATCATCATCACTTTCTACTTCTTCCTCCGTCTCCACGCCATCACTTTCTTCTACTTGGTGCTTCACTTGCTCAACCTTTGGCTGCTTGCCAACATCCTCAGGCGTTCCCTTGTTCAGCTCCTCCTCTTTACATTCATCCTCTGGTTGGCTGTCCTCCATTTCAGAATCACAGGACACATCTGTCACCAGTGAGGGCTCTAATGGAAACACAGAAATAACAAATGTTTGTTAAGGAAGAGTGAGTGGATAAATGATTTCTTTAAAAAAAAACTGACCATATCCCACTAATAATGTAACAGACTTTTGGTAAGCTTACCATGGCATTTAGAGGGAGTCCCCATGGCATCCAAAACATCACACAGGTTCAGGACGATCTGTCAAAAATGAATCAAAGAAGTTAACATGGTTGATGACAGTGAAACATATTTTCAGTAACAACTAGGGCTGTGCAATTAATCGTATTTTAATCGCAATTACGATTTTGGCCTGCCACAATTACGAAAACAACATAATCGGGAAAAAAAATTATTTAGCTTTGCTAGGTTGTGACAGTGCACTGCAACATATTTGATCTAATTTATTTTGGTCTCATTTATTTGTATTTATCGTATTTATATATGTTTAGTAGCTTGTGGAAGTGCGCTCCAAAATATTTGTTGATCTTGTTTATTGGTATTTATTATTTTTATATTATTTATTTAAATGTATCATTTATTTTTGTATTGGTTTTTCAGTTGAATTATACGTTCAGGGTAATCAACAGTTAAAAAGATACTGTTCAAATTATTATTTGTATTTGTTTTAAAGTTCAATAAATTGATTTTTTCAAAGTCAATGAATAATCGTATTTAATAATCGTGATATCAATTATTGACCCAAATAATCGTGATTATGATTTTTGCCATAATCGCACAGCCCTAGTAACAACCACGCTGCCGGTTTTCTTACATCATCCACACTGCCCTGTGGGTCACCAGGCAGACCTGCATCAGAGTCCTCCAGCAGGTCCAGGGTGGTGTTCATGATGAGTGGAGTTCTGTCGTGTATTGGCGCTGCTCCCTGTGTGTCTGCACAGTGAGCCGCGGCAGCAGAGTCCGGCTTGTGTTCCAGTCTGGATTCAGGTTTGCTCTGTGCAGCTGGCTGAGACTTTGGTTTGAGATCAGCTGCAGGTTTTGCAGAGACTTTGGTTTTAGAGAGTTCTGCTGTCGCCCTGGCTGGTCTCTTGAAAGTCTTCCCCTTGGAGGCCATCCACTCTGCAAGTTTTGCTCTGCAGAGGGAACACAAAAACATTTGAGCATGCACAGTAGCACTAAGGCAAGCATAACATGCGTATGTGGGAAATATGTTACCTTCTTTCCTCTGCAGTCTCCATGTTGAATCTGTACTGACTGAGGGTACTTGAGACAGGAGGTTTGTTGACCTTCTTGTCTGTCACTGAAATATTTGAGTTCTGAGTGCTGGTCCCCTTTGTGGGAGCCACTTTAGTGTTTCTGGAGCTGGTGCTGGCTAGTGTTGCTGGGGCGGTCCTGGCAGGGGGACGAGCAGAGCGGAATCCTGCGGTGGGGCGGCTGGAGAGGGCAGGCTTGGAGACCTGAGCATGTCTATCCAACGCTGACTTGGAACTGGTCGGCACAGGTTTCTGCATGCTATACCCAGGCAGGTCAGCAACAGATTTGGATCTGCATTTCGTGACATTTCCGACCCTCTGGCCTTGTGTTTTGGGTGCTGATGGTTTAGTATCCAGCTCGCTAATGCTGGTAGTTGACTTCCAAATGGATCCAATTTTAGACTGGACGACTTTGCCTTTGTACATGCCGGGAGCAGACTTTGATGATGGCACAGCAGCTGGTGGCTTTGGAGCTTCTGCAACTATTTTCTTGTGTCTCACAGCCTGCTGGCTGAGGTAGGCCCGGCTGTGTGTTTGTCGTGGTTTGACATCAGCAGCAGCTCTACCAGTGTTCTGCAGAGGCTTTACTTTCTGCAGGGCCTCACCAGATGTTGACTTTGTGTCCACAAGAGGACCATGTTTTTCCAAGGTGTCATCTCTTTTGTTGCTTGTCATTTGGAAGGGAGTAACAGACGGTTTGTCGTTTCTGATGAAGGACTTGGATCCATAGGCAGGCTGAGCATTCTCCTTGTTTCGCTAATACAATTAAAAGCAAAGGAACATTAAGTAGGCTGATTTAATGTAATATTTATATTCATTAGCATTACAAAAACAGCTTACCTTCTTATTGGTGTGGTCTCGTGTAGAAACTGCAACGTTGTCCATCGTGAAGCCTCGATGTGGTCAATTCAATGGCGATTTCTGAAGGACGAACAAAGCAGTTAACGTTGCCTGCACAAGCAGCAAGGTAACGCTAGCAACCTCCTTTAGGATATAACATGTTTCCCCTCAAAACTCTAACAGTCAAAGCTTTAGGACACATTTCACAGCATACATTACCGTATCCGTTTTTGGAAAATAATATATACCGCTCATCTACATTTGAAAATATTAGCTACTAGTTGGGCGTTTCGCTAAACTGACCTAACGTTACTTAGCTTACATTATGCACGGCACTGTCTGGAATACACGACCGTTGTAACCATAGACTGTATATATAAAGGTTGTAACGTTGTCTATAACATTACCTATATTTAAGTACAGTAAGAAAGAAACGTTGACTTACCCTGTTCCGGCTTGTTGTTGTATTTGTTAATATACGAGGAGAAAGCCTATCCAAAACAGCACACCGAAAGATTCCCAACAGTGTAACTTTAAAACGGGCTCGCACAACTGGCTCTGGCTCAATCTGGCTGCCTAAACATATTGGATTTGATTTGGTGTTGCTGCGATGCAATTGGCCATACAAGTATCGCGAGACGAGGGGATTAACCAATAGGATGTCTCAAAACTAAGAACGAGAATAGAAGAATACTACATTCTCTCAAGCCACTTCAAGTTTCCAACCCGTCGGTTTGAATGTTTGAAACTTTGAACGGTTTGAAACTTTGAACACAAATAGAATTCCTCTCATACCGGTCCATGCAGACAGCTAGTTTCAGCGACACGCCCAATGCCCTAACAGTTTGGTGAAAAACAAAGAGCTATGGCCTCCAGTAGGTATTGTTCATCATTAGAGAAATAATGTAAACATAAGCAATTATTTTCAGTAAACATGACACATTTACGTTCAGCGGTGATGCGGTATGCATACACTGTTCAGGTAAAAGTCCTACCTACTATCAAGATGTTATTCAAGTGAAAGTACAAAAGTATTAGCATCAAAATATACTTAAAATACCAAAAGTAAAATAGTCATTGTGCAGATTGGTCCATTTCAGAATAATATATGTGATATGTTTTATAATTATTGATCATTAAAGTGTTATCAAAGCTGGTAAAGGTGCAGCTAGTTTGAATGACTTTGTATACTGCAGGGTAGCTTGTGAATTTACTCCAGGTGTAACTAAAGTCTGATTTAAGAATTGATTATATTTCACATCATTAATTCAAATCTGCAAAGTAACTAAATATATAAATAGTGGAGTAAAAGTACACGATTTACTCAAGTAGGGCTACTGTACTGTACTTGAGTAAATCTACTAAATTACTTTACACCACTGTATTACGTTGCTATGATTTATTCACAAGTCACACATGTACTTTTTTTTAAATAGCTGCACCTTCACTGTTTTAAGGAGATGAGGTATATATATAGGGCATAACCACATTAATAATTAAATGATATCATTATTTTCTGCAGTCTCCTAGAAAAATGCTCATGATTGTGTGGTAATGATGATGACAGTAATATAATATTAATAATAACTTTGATAATCAAAAACATGAGTGTGTTATTAGTTACTAATTGAACTGTACTTCACAAATATAAATACTTTTGAAATATGGATGTGATGTGACCATCGGATGTGACCAGACCCATAGCATGTGTGAACCATGATTTATAAACAGTCCATGGTGTAAACAAGAACATGCCATGGCATGTCTTCAAGTTTTGAAAGACTGCTGTGCTGGGGATTATGGGAAAAAAGCGCCCAATTCCAATCCACACACACCCTACCCCCACACACTACCCCTCCGTTTGCGCGTTTGCGCCTTTATATATACATCCATGGTGTCACCCCGCCACCGAGTTCACTCCGTCACGGAGTGGGAGTGGGTAGGGTGTGGTTTGGAATTGGGCCTACATCACGCTTCACAAAAAATGTTTCACTTGCAAGAATGTGCCTTCAAAATAAAATCAAAATACCAACCAAAATCAAAAATAATACACTAGTTGATTTAGACTTGACAAGCCTAGTTCTCGTATGCATTTTCTCATAGGGCTTATGACAATAACTTGTGATACATTGGAACATTTTGTAAAAAGCGAAGTGCATTTGTTTTATTTTGAAAGAAAAAGTCGGAAATGAATTTACTATAGGCCTACAACAAAGCTTGAAAGCTAACTTAGCGTTAGCAACGTAGTTCGCTTATCTGAAAAGGATTTCACAGTGAAAAAACTAGTATATGATACAAAAACAGAATGCAGGTTCAATGCGCTGTGCCGGGCTGTCTTGGGGGCCAATCCGACCCCCAGCCCCTTTTCAGGTTCCCATGTGACCAAGAAAGGTAACTATTGCTAATGATGCTAAAGCAAACAGGGAGCTCTCAAGCTACCCACAACAACGTGTTACTTTGTACGTCAAATAAGAGAACGGCATTATACAACGAGGGTAACTTTGCTTAAGTGTCGAGGCATATTTCAGCAAGATGTCCTGCCTGTGTTTCGCTCTGTAGCGCATTCTTTATTAAACCCATACATTATCGAGTTACTTCAACTTGCAAACCCAATTCAGACAGATGCACGTGGCGTTGCTTTTTGCAAACATAGACACCTGACATCATGATTCCTTTTGGAGGATGTGTACATGTTATGTAAACGCCGATTTACAAAATACAACACATACCAAAGTATACAATACTACAGTTGTGGTAAATGATATCTGTAGACGACATACTTAGTTTATTTTTCCTGTAAGGGCACGTCTACAACCTTTTGTTATAACCGAAGAGGCCCAGGTGGGATTAATAACAGTGTTCCATCAGGAGATCTTGTCCATGGTCGTTTTATTATGCATCATACATTAGTACACAGTACACAGGAGGTTTGGCTCATGTTAGCCTCCCATATTAATCTACAAAATAAATAAATGTCACTAGTTATAGAATTGTTATATCCATGATATGCTTTTGTTGTTTTATGTATTGTTTAGCTTTATAATCTTAGTCATTGTTACTTGTTTTTAGTAAAAAAGAAAGCTTGCCTTGGCTGATTGTTATATAACTGAAACTCAAAGCCAAAATTGTATAGACAATTAATAGTATCTTTGGATGTATCCCTTCCGTTCAGGTCCAAGAAGTGGCTTGAAAAGTGTCAGAGGCAAGATCTCAGCGACAAATCAGCAGAGCTGTTGTTTGAGTGCTACAGACTGTGTGGGAAACATTTTGAAGCATCCTTGGTTGAAAGTGTAAGTTGTGTTTACAAGATGTGCACAAGTTTTGGATCAAATTGCCCGGCCTTCAATTAAAATGTAAAAGAATGGCTTTGTCCTGCCCTGTATATTGTTTCACTACAACCTCAATCAATACAGAATAAAATGTAGTTATTTTATAGGTTACAGGAATAACAGTTAGTTAATATGACTTGGCAATATGCCGATAATGTGATATTAGACTATATATCGTGTTTGATTGTAGATATCATAAAATAGCATAAAGGTTAATATTTTTCTGGTTTTGAAGGCTGAAATACAATAATGATGTTAATGTCAAACTTTTAATATTTGTCATGACCCAATAAGTCATTATATACGCATTGCTTATAATCATTTATCAAAAATCTTATTGTGTTAGTATTTATCAAAGCAAATCAAAGGCCTTTACAATATTGTTGCAATATCAATCTTAAGATATCTGGAAAATAATATTGTGATGTTTTATATTCTCAAAAGATCACATTCCTGGTTAGTCCATTAGTCCTATTTGTATGTTCAGTCTACATATGGTTTGTATAATGAACTTCTCTGCCTTGACTCTGTTTACAGGATGCTCAGGGTACAGTGTTGAAGGATGGTGCCATACCAACTATCTTTGAAGGACAGAGCAAACCTCAAAATGGACAGGGGAAGCGCAGTAATGCAATGGTGGGTAAAATACATCTTAATTTATCAATGGGAGATAATCATTTGTATAAGTAGATTATAATTTTTTTAAATCACGTTTTAATTTGCCTTTTATTATTGTAGACCAAGGATGATGAAACAGACAGTAATGGGAGAAAAAGTAAGTCAAAAATATCAACACAAACACACATGTATTACTTACAATGAAACAAATGACTCCCACATTAGACACATAGTGAATGATTGACTCATTTTATCTTGCCTGTTTTTTATATTCTCTTTTTAGAACTCAAGAAGTCGCAAGCAGAGACAGTTAAAAAAGAAGTCCAGACACCCCCAGAAGAAGAGGAACAGAAAGAGTATCTTAAGTCCTTATTTAAAGTTCTTGTACTATTGGGAGAGCAAAGCATTCCTCCGACAGGGCCCGGCGATAATAAACAGGATGGCCTTGGGTCAAGTAACTTTCAGGCATTGTTAGAATATAGCATGAACTGTGGAGATGAGGTCCTTAAGAAGAGGTACGACGCGAATACAGAGAGCTGCTCCTCAGCTCAGCTCAGTCCGCTGGTTGAGGTTTGTGAGAAATACATCCGCAGGAAGCTTGTGAAGGAAGTTCAACAAAATGGCTTTTTCTCCTTACTTACTGATGACTTGGTGAAGATCTCAGGAGAATGGTTCCTCCCCGTCTTTCTCCGTTTTGTGGACCAGTCTAACTGCCAGCAGGAGAGGTTTGTTGGATTTTTGTTCTTCGAAGGACACGGAGAGGCCTTAGCAGAGCAACTTCTCTCTGAAATGACGGACAATTGGGGTTTGGATATGGAGCAGTGTAGAGGTCAAGCCCACTCCTGCTCTGGGACACATTTAGGTAAACTAAAAGCATTTTATGCCAAATTGTTAGAAAGGTATCCAATGGCAATGCTTACACCCAGATCTACTCGTACATTGAACCTGGTACTGGCAAATGGAATGGCTTTGTCAGGGGTTCAGCTTGTCTTGTCGACCTTGAAGAAGATTGAGTCATTCTTTAGTGAGTCCACTCTACTGCAGTTGGAGTTGGAGCATGCCATTTCGATTTTCTACCCGGACAAAGAAGAGAGAGCCAAGGAGCTGAAGGAGATCTGTGGAACCAGCTGGACCAGACGACATGATGCGTTTGAGGTGGCCTTGGAAATCCTAGAGGCATTGTTACTCTGTGTGGACAGTGTTCATGACAACGAGGACATGAGGTGGAACGATCAAGTCACACACAACGCTTTAGAGATTTCAAAAGCACTAGCTGATTTTGAATTCGTAATGGCTCTGGTTGTGCTGAAAAACACTCTGACACTGACACAAGCTTTCGGGAGGAATCTGCAAGGCAAAGCATCAGATGTCCACTTTGCCGCAGCGAGTTTAAAAGCTGTATTGCACTCCCTGAAGGAAGTGTCTGACAATATTGATGTTTATCACGAGTTCTGGAACGACGAGGCCACTAACCTAGCCACTGCGATGGAGATCCCAATTAAGGTTCCTCGGTCTTACTTGAGAAAGCACCAGTCAGAATCTGGAGCTGTTCGGCCGGAGAGTTACTACAAGGAGCACCTGTCTGTTCCCATAGTGGAGCATGTCATCAGAGAAATTGATACTCTC